CCCGCGGCCTGTTTTGGGCCTAGCAGGCCTCCCTGAAGCCTCCTGAAACAAAGCACGGGCTGCAGAGGAGGCACACAACACCCCCTGTGCTCCACCCCACCCCCTGTGCATGTGACTCCCCCCACATGCGCGCATGAGCACCTGCCCCCCGCGTACACGTGTATAACCCCTCTGTGCAAGCGTGCACGTCTCCCGCATGCACGCCAGAGACTTGAAAATGAGCTGGCTGGTGGGAAGCGCTCACACATCTGCGGTGGAGCTGAGTTGGGCGATGGCTCGCATGCCCGCATGTGTGCCATAGGTTTGCCATCACAGACCTCTATCATCCAAGGAGATAGAAATAGCACTTAGACTTATATACTGCTTCATAGTGCTTTACAGCCCTCTCTAAGCTGTTTACAGAGTCAGCATCTTGCCCCCAACCTGGGTCCTAATTTTACCCCCTTGGGAAGGATGGAAGGCTGAGTCAACCTGGAGCCTGGTGAGATTCGAACTGCCAAATTGCAGGCAGCCAGCCGGCAGCACAAGTAGTCTGCAGTACTGCATTCTAACCACTGCGCCACTGCGGCTCATCAAAGTGAGATGTTCTCACTTTAGGCATACCTTGGACAGGTATTATAATTATTATTATCTTATGGCATTGTTACCTTAGTCAGGACACCACAATGCTATCACAGGGTAGTAGCTCGGCTGCCGAGGTATCAGTTCTGTTGTAGGAAATGCTCACATGCTTCTCAAGGTGCGCCGCAGATGGGTAAGCTGGCTTCACACCAGAAGGAAAGATGAGTGGTTCTTTCTGCAGTGTTATCCAAGGCCCCCTCCCTCTCTGGAGCCGCCTTGCAAATGGGGACAGCAGTTAGGAAGGTTCAGAGCCATCAGGAATCTGACAGCCTGCACAGAGCATCCGCTTGTCTCCCATCGAAGTGGTACCTATTTATCTACTCACATAGAGCATGCTTTTGAATGGTTAGGTGGACAGAAGCTGAGTTGAGTGACGGGACCTTGCCCCACCATG